AAAGTTTTCAAATGAAAACTTCTTGAAACTCACCTCAGTAAGTGCCTTCACCGTATACCTCAAAATACTTTGCTTAAGCACTTGAGAGTCACTGAGTGGGAGTGTTTGATAATGCATACTGCACCTTTCATTCTCTTTGTGGCAGCCTTGACTATACCCAATACATTACAATGAATTATCCAGACGGCTATACTTAAGTTTATCTTCGGTCTTTTGTATCTGTGCTTGGAACACGATGTTTTTCCCGGAGCTGAAGCTTTCTGCCTGAATCCGTTTCTTTGTGCTGAAAAGTGCATTTCAATCAGTGGAAGGTTATTTTTTCCCAGACTTTGACATAATAGATTCCCAGTTTTTGTGTGTGGAAATAAGGCTTTTGCTGGTGTGTATTTTTCATTTAAAGGCTTTGTTTTGTTATAAAACAAGGCTGGTAGATATTGAGCTTGAGAGCTGGCTGCATGGAGGTCCAAAATCTCCTCCGTCCTGTTCGGGGGTCGCTGCACGGACATTGATCTGCTACCTTCACTGTGGCTGTCCTTGAAAGGAGAAACAACATTAAATACAGCAATGACTGGCTTTTGTACTGGACTAATAAAAGAGAAACAAGAAACACTTCAAGGGTTTATTTATCGTGTCAAGGTTATTGTCTTTGTACAACACAGGGTTGCAGAACAAAATGCAATTGCTTTATAATACAAAAGAAAAACCAAGTCCTGCATTTTGTGTCTTTTTATTTGCACCAGGAGGAATAAAAACTATGGAGAAAATGGAGCAGAATGTTACCAAGCATTATTGATGTTAACACACACAACAATACATGCATACAAAGGAAATTTCACAATAAACGCAGCTGCCTTGTCAGGATCTCGACACAAACTGAAGCTTAAGCCTACAAAACTTAACAAAATAAACAAAACCTGACATGAGTGAAAGCAATCCTTTCTGAGCTGAGGCTTGGCACGACGATTCGGAGAAACAAACAAGACGAATTGACACAGGACAGGGGAGAGACAGGACTATTTAAACATGAGGTGAGTGGGAACAGGTGGAAACAATCAGGGGCGGGGCAGACACTGATGATGGTGGGAAAAACACACAAGGGGAGGAAGAAAACAGGGCCTGAAATGAAAGACAAGAGGTAAGTACAAAATAAAACAGGAAATGACAGACAAAATACATAAACATAACTAACACATTTGACGAGACACAACATGGACCCGGTGTTTTGTTTACAAAACAAAAGGCAGCTGTCTAGAATTTGACTAATGATTAGAAATTCTTCTTCTGTAAATTATATGATAATTTATAAGAAATTAAAACATAAAGAATATGTGTTTTTTATGTATTAAGTCCATAAATAAATAGGCAATTACAATATATGTTATGAAAAGGAATACATCCATGCCTAATTAAATTTCCAAAGGAGGAAGACATATGACTCGCATGGTGAATATTCCTTCTATTGACATTTCGTCACTAATGCAATATTAAATAACTAATAGAACTAAATATAATGTTAATAAAGTGTATTTGCCAGCTCATAAAGTTCTATAGTGAACACGTAAATGTTGAGTACCCCAAAGTTTTATGTTAGAAATGCATAGTATGTTAACTTGCATATGTTGGTCAGTTTGCACATGAGTGGCATTAATTAGCATTCATTAGCATATTCAGACAATAGTACAAAAAATGGTCTAGCAGATTTTGACCATTTTAGAGTGGCTTTGGAGGTTATTGAGTATGCAGAATCAATTTCTGAAATGTTCGGGATCAAAAATGATGATGAGACATTTTTATGAACTTTGGTATTAAAGTTTACAAGACCCAAAACCACAATTTTGTATCCTAGAAATATTCGCAATACACCTTAAAAAAACACAGCAAAATTATCAAAAATTGGCCAGGCCATTTTTTTTACTATTTTCTATGCTAATAAATGGCAATTAATGCAACTTACGCTAATTGTGCAAATTGGCCAACATACTGGTTGCTGGCAACTTGACTAATATGGCAGCGGTGATGTAAATATGGCACGATGTTGCATTGTAACACACTGCTGGTAACTGATATTTTCTCAGCTTTACTTTTATTTTGTAACACGTCTCAATGAAGAAAAGGCTTTTGATGGCAGTATCCAAGCAAGTTTGCATGGAAAATACTTTAAGCCAATAACACATTGATGCGGCTGTGCATGCACCATTTGTAGGACAAGAGAAATAAGTTGACCTAGCATCTCATATTGCTGTGGTGTGAATGGTTGTTAGCCAACAGAGAGCTGTCGGTGTGAGCCATGATGTTTGAAGGCTGGATTACCTCGGTGTCTTGTGTTTAAGAGATGCCAAGGCGGCTGGATGCCACAATGTTTGGGTGATTGCCTAAAATCCTCAAAGCGTTTGCTACATCTCCAGCTAATTTAATTTGAAATGGATTACAGATTTGCTCATGGTGATTGTGCACCTCCCACATGGGAACATCCGTTTCCTCCTGGGTGACGCATGTGTGATGGAACTGCTCCAAGCTGATCTCTTTGAAAACCAGCATAGCTCTATCATTCAGAGCATGATGTTATGCTATGGTAAAGAAAACAAGTGTTCGTGGACTTTAGAAATGTTGTTACTCTTTACAATGTGTAACTACAGACAATCAGTGATCAAGCCCCTGTATAAAATAATGCAAAAATGAGTCCCAAACCTCGCAAATGAGTTAGCATTTTACCACTTCTGGTTCCCTCAGCAATGTTTTGAACATGTTAAAGGGGACCTCTCATGCAAAATGCACTTTTTTATGTCTTTTATACATAAATATGTGTCCCCGGTGTGTCAGGGAACTCACAAAGTGTCAGAAAATAAAACCCTCTCTCTTTTCCTCCGTGCGCAAATCTCTAAAAACGGGGGAACAACGGAGCTGATCCAGATTTGCCATCCAATATGACGTAATTGTCATATCGGATGGCACGGCCCTATCAGAAACATCGCTATCAGAATCAATGCGCGAAGTGTTTTGGAAGTAATATGGTCTTTGTTTACATTAGCAAGCATCGCTAACACTCAGAGGTAACCTGTACTGGAGAGTATGTGTAAAGAAGCCGGATATAAAAAGGAACTCACCTTGTGGTAAACCCGCAAGAGAAAAAGCATTTGAGCTCCATACTGTTTCAGAAATAATCCTTGATGTGGTTTTGAACATGATATGGCGTTTCATCACCGCAGCATTTAGACAGTATCTGCTGGGTCCGCATGAGCAGGCATAGGCTCCACCCCCTCTCTCTCTTTTTTTAAAAGCTTTATACCCCAAATCAGCACTTTAGTAACAGGGCTGAAACGGAGGGATATGAGGCATGGCGAGAATGGGTGATCTGTTTGGTATTTTGAGCAAAACACTTCATAGACATGTTTTTTATATATTTGTATATATCTGAGACCTATGCTATTGCCTAAAAATAGCATGATAGGTGACCTTTAAGTTGCCTATAAGGTCACATAGATAAGACATTACGTTTTGTTCCTAAAATAAATGAAATATGTCAGTAAATACCATAGACTGTATATATAAATGGACGTAGTGTCCGTGACGTTACCCATAGTATTCTGCAGAGTTGCCGAGAAGCCTAAAGTAGGCGGTGTCGGCCACTAACGGCTCGACAGTGACGTCAGAGTCTAACCCCTAGATTCCACCGGGTCCGTCTGCGGCGCGCTACGGGCGCGCTACGGGCGCGTTACGGGCGCGTTACGGCTGCGCCGCGGTGCTCACGGTGATCGCGGCCACTCTAGTCAATGGGTGCTATTCCACCACACGCGGCGCGTTACGGCTCAGAAGCGTCCCAGAAGCGTCCCAGAAGCGCCGCGGCGCAGGGCTCCTCTAAAATTAGGATGAATCCTATTTTTGACGCGGCGCAGCCGTAACGTAAGGTCGGGCAGGCAGGAAGTGGATTTTAAAGTTGGAATGAGGTTTCTGAGTGAAAGTATGAAGGAACAGTTAGCAGTTGAAGTCGCATGAAGATTGTTCAAGTCTGAAGATTTTCTCCATTGACTTCAATGGTTAAAAATGGGATGAATTATGGGATGTATCTCTGGAATTATGAAAGTTATGAATGATAAAATAGTGGAATGCTGTTAACAGCAGAGCCATAAGATAAGTCCGATATTTAAATGAAGAAAACTCCACCAGACACCAACACAGCAAACACATCAACGAGTTCAAGTTGTGTTCCCCGCATCAGCCTCGCATCCTGGAGCTTACTGAGCTAACGGAGCTACTAGCAGAGAGACAGAAAGCTAGAAGCAGCACTCACTGCAGAGACCTGTCACTCAAGGTGCCCTAATTTATGCAAAAACTTTAAGACCTAATATAACTAAAAGGGTTGTGTTATAAAACAATGCACCCCCCACACTGTTGTCATGAAGGGGGAATCTAACTATACAGAGAATATGGTTTTTTGAACCACGATGTAAACATATTTATTTCTGCTGTAAAGTTGGTCATTTTAACATGGGGGTCTATGGAAATTGCTCTCTTCTGCAGACTGCTCCTACTGGCCACTAGATGAACTGCAGTTTGAGGCACTTCCTTATTGGCCTCCCGGCTCTGCCCAAGAGTTTGCCGCTTGGTAAATACCTCACTGGTGAATATCTGAAGCTACTTTGTGATTTAAAAAAAATAGCAGCTAAATGAGATTACTAAACATCATCACACTGAACATTAGCCTTTAGCTTAGCGGTGGTTATGCACAGCCATGTGACTGTGATGAAATTCCTATAAAGCCAAACGTTACCTTTTTACTCCTGGCTAAAGAAATCACAAGTATTGATATGTGGAAATGATTTTCCTGAACCTGTAAGTATCATAAATGTGTGTTTGCCACATGCCATTGGAAGAATCCATTGATTTTAGTAGAGGGAGCCTGTGTGATGCTAACTTCTGTGCCTGCCTTCAAAATATGTAATTACTGCACCATTCTATAATTCTTTGTTCTTCATCCACTCATAATCTCTCCTCTCTCTCAGACCTTCCGATCGTAAACCTCACCGTGGATCCACAGCCTGTTTTGGAGGGAAATCTGATCAAATTCCACTGTGCCGCCAAAGCCAACCCACCTGTCCTCTACTACAGGTGAGCTCCAGCATAACTAATACTATGATTTATTCTGTGCACTGTTTTATATCTGCCTGCTGCGTGCCTTCGTACACAGGAAATCACAGTGTAACTCAAGTCAACACTGACCCATATAGGGGATTTAAAATGTTGCATAATATACAATGCCACAAATTAAACCAATTACTGTAGTCTCAATTAAAATGAATACTTGATGTATAAAATCTTCTTATGTTATATTTTACAAGAGGAAATTGAACTAAAATGCTGTGCACAAAGTATCTGTGGTAAAAACACAGCATCTGATCCTCTTTTTTTAGAACCATTATGTCTGATAACATCAGCATCCATTATCTAGTTTTATATCTGGATATCATTCTCATAATGATAATTGTTTAGGATCGTTCACCATGTAGAAATACCAAAATGTCTGTGTCATGCTGGGCAGTCACTGACTGAAAGCTGTCTAAAATAATGTATCTTACCGTACCACTGGCTCATCTGCACTCATAACCCCCCCCCCCCCCACCCAGCAGAAGGCACCTTTGTGATTATATATGTGCAGGCAGCCCTGAGAAGCTGCCACATCTCTGACATCTGTCAGTGTGTCAGGGCAGGGCCGGCCATCTCTCCATCACTGCATGAACTCTGAGAGGAGGGGTCAGCTACAAGACATGCACACTGAGATTCAGTCCTGCCACCAGGGCTCTGAAGTATTCTGAAACACAGGCTAAAATGCACAAGAGAAAAAAACAACCTGTGCGGAGTATTGAACAGATTTTTATTTCAAATGCTTCTTTAATAGCTTGTTTGGATGCTTTTTGTGTCAGTGGTGCAGGCTGTTGTGATGTTACCAGTTATTATACATTTGCTGATTAGATGATAGCATGATCCCATTTTACATTGAAAAGTCAGTATTTTTTTATTTTTCCACAGTTTACAATGCCGTGACACTGCAGGCTTTATCTTGGAATGTGGGAGTATCAGTTATTAGGTTATTGGAAGGCCCATCCTTTCATAAATAGGCCTTTTGTCACTCATTATTTTATTATTCCCCTTCTTGTGTCCTGCAAGGTCCTCTCCTGACTCTCTGGTCTTCTAGCCAGGTTAGGAAGAAAGGAATAGACGCTACAACAGATGTTATCCTTCAAATTCAGGTTGTACTTTCATTTAGAATTCATGAACTGAATTTGTGAATCGAGAGTCCTTTTTAGCTTTATTATAGCAAGGTTATACTGAGCAGGCTTGTGTGTATTTGTTAGTGATTTTTTTATATTGATGCGGAGCAAACCACAGTGAACTACTTGACTAAAGCAAATGTTTAAAAGCTTTGCACAAGGTTGTTTTAATAGTTATGCTGGAAAAGTAAAATGTAAGTTCCCCTGCATACACCAGTGAGTCCTTGCATTCAAGTCATGGATAGTATCACATCCACTTTATACACTTTAAATACACTTTACATTGTTATAAGAGTTGGTAAGAGAAGGTAAGAGACGGTTCAGACCAACATTAGATCACCAACAATATTTAACTTTTTTTTGTATTGATTGATTAATTGATTACAGGACAGTTGAAGAGAAGTGCAGGGTCACATATATGGATAAAAGAGTAAGACGAGTCACAAAATACCAATGGGGTCAAGAGTCATACAGCATGGGTTTGGACTTGGATGGGTAGACATCATGGTACTCTATTAAAGCAACTTAACATGGCAAAAAGGGAATGTTGTGTTTGTACCACAGACTTACTTTTCCATTCTTTATTTTGAAATATAACATAAGAATCATCCATATAAATAATATGGAAAACAAGTTGAATTGTGGCATCATGTTTTACCATTTCTGTTCAATTTTCATCAGTTTCAATTTAGTTTGACTATATTATTGGTTTAATTGGCATTGTAAAGGAGAGAGAAAAATTAAAATCATAATATAAATAATAACAATTTGAAATAACTAAATTGCTGAAAATAGATAAATAAATAAATAATATGAATAATAATTGCAGAGCAGAGTCGTCCCTGTTCAGTACAGCATACAGACAGCAGGACCAACGCTCTGCTCCCACTGGATTGGAGTCTGATGTGCACAACATTACTGCATATTATGGAGTCTATATGTCAGCGTCTCATTGTGGGTGACTTCCATGGCAACCATTCCATTTTTTGACCCGTTGCTGCCCTCTCCATTGAGTGTTTTATTGATCACCGTAGGTATATTATTGTGTCTCTCAAATGGGGAAAGTCAGACTTGCTGAGGGTGGATGGGATGGTGGTAGGAGACGAGTGAAGTTAGTTCCTCCTCCTTATCGCAATCGCTCCAGATGCTCTCCATCTTTCTTTCCTGTCTCCACTCTTCTTCCTCTGTCTCTTATTCTAGATTGGCTGAAAGAGCTTGACTCAGAGGGAAATAAATACTTAGTTTGAGACCATATGTGAATCATCAGACAGTCAATTGTTGTCCATGGGATGTGTACAAGATTTGAAAATAGAAAATGTGCTTGTTAACTTCAATCTGTGGTGTGTGCATAGTGTAGAAGGATTCCTAAACCAGGAAAGGAGCACTTCCTGTTCCCATTTCTGTTAACACAAGCTAACAACATTTTCATAATTTTATAATATTTAAAAAAACCTCCGACTCGTGAATGTCTGAAGCTTCTCTGTGTCTGTAAAACAGATGTTGCTAACAAGTGGCTAATGAGACTGCTAAACATCATCATGCAGAACATTAGCCACTTTTAGCTAAGCGATATTTACATTAAGTCATGCAACAGTCAAAAGTAGTTTGTTTATAGCCGATTGTTCGCCTTTTACTTCTTTCTGGACAAAACATATTAAAAAAAGTACAATCATAAATCATAAATGTGTGCTCAACATATAGCTTATTTTATGCAATATAACAAACTCAATGATAAAATCCCCTAGATTTTGGTTAACCTGTTAAGCCCGAGAGACCCCGGTAACATCTTGCAGGAAACAGTGTCTGAGGGCATGTTCATTTAATAAAACTATGAATGTTTTATATCCATGTAACGGGAAGAAACTCATCTAACTGATCATATTTTTTTTTTTTTTCAAAAGAAAACCCACAATGCTAACACTGAGCCTCTGAATTAGCAACGAGCGAAAAATGCTAACACCTTACTGCACCGAAGATCACTCACAAAACCTTATTATTTATCTTTTCACCACATCCAACACATCGTTTCACATCGTGAGGTGACACAGAATCGATTGACACCGACATTACCACTGAATTATACGTATTTGCGACGTTATAAGCAAAAACCAACATCAAAACAGGTGACGCTAGGTAGCTAAAAATACTAACATTTTTACCTTGAAGTGGTCTTCAATGGCATTAAAACGATAAAAACGCTGCTGAAGTTAATCCATAGGTTAATCTAATGTGTCTGTGTCCCTTTGAAATGATTTCTGATAATCCATAAGCATTAAAACTGCTTTTCCGTTTCCAGATGTCAAAGCTAGAGATAGGTTCACTCTGATTGAAAATTACATGCACGAAGCCCCCACCTTTTCTCTTCACAACGTGTGTGTGTGGGGGACTCCCCCTTCAATTATATTGGCTCTAACGGTCAGAAAGAGGTGTCAACCATCAAAATCGAGCAAGGGGGGCCAGAGATATGGAAAATCCACCCAAATGACCCCAGAAGTGGTTTCTTTTTGCTAAATCTCTCTAAAAAGGTAAAATGTCACTTGTTTTGCATCAATCTTGATACAGGGTACTTATTATATGTTGTACTTTGGATTCCTAAAGCTTTTAGTCTACTAACCCATCATTCAAGGGTAGTTTTCACTATAAGTAAAAAAGAATTTTTGGACGGACACTATAATTTACAGTTTTTTACTATGTAAAATCTGAATTTTCTTTAAAATAAAAAACATCTATATTGATTCTGACTTTTCTACATCCAACTCACAGGTTTATCATTACTTTGAGAAAAAGATTATTAATTTAACCCTTTTAGAAGGGAAGATATGGTCATTTGTTCTGGGAATGTCATTTTCGAGCCTGAGACCTGAAAAACAGGCTCAGGGCTTAACAGGTTAAGGGAGCACTTGCGAGGCTAACAACAAAAATACGTCATCACTGCACCACTCTATTATTGCTCCAAGCATATTTGTTTGCCCAGACTCGTGGGAGTTGGGATGAAAGTGCAACAGCGACTCAACAGCAGTACCGTGTCCACAGAGAGATAGATAAAGGACAGGAGGAGGGGGGGGGCACGACCATGGGGGTGACAATCTATCTGAACAAGCCCACACAGACGTCGACACCCCTGGCTGTCTGGCAGACTCATTATTGCCTGTTGTTTTTCAAAACATTGCAAAGGAAGTGAGGAGAAATTAAGTGATGGATGGAGGAAGGGAAAGTGAAACAGAAGACGAATGCAAAGGATGGCGAGCGAAGAGGGAGACGCAGATTAATTGAATACTAAATTAGGGAGAGAGAAAGGAGAGTACAGAGCGGAAGAAGAGAGGAAATGTGTTGATGTCGCTTGCAAATCAAGTGGCTCCTGTTCCTATGGGAGTGCTGTCAACTGCTTCTGCTGCCATACGTTGATGAGGGATTTTTTTTCGAAGCAGAGTTGTCATGTCTTGTTTCTTCATTTGTCGTTTTTAGCGGAGTCTAATGAGAGCCTCAGTTGGGCTGGTTAAGCTCGGCCTGTCATCCGTTTGATGTGAGCGCAAGGGCACAACATCACTGTCTGCCTATGGACAAAAACCTGTTTGAATGTTTTGGCACTGAAGTCTCCTGGGAGGTGTTTGTGTGAGCGGGTCAGAGGGTCCGCTTTTTCCACACAAAAGATCATAAATCTGTGTGTGGAAATGTGTAAAAAGCCCTGGTATCCAGCTGAAATCTGCACAAAATAGAAAGTGTGAAAATTACAGATTTAGGTTTAAATGTTACTGCTTGTAATAACAATTTAGAAATTACATTACATGTCATTTTCACTGACACCTTTTTCCAAATCAACATATGGGGCACTGGCCCTCTGATTGGTGGACCTCATATCTATGGCGAATCCTGGTTCACCCTCTGGTCCACAGTCCAATAGACACCAAGTATTGCTTGAAAAAAATAACATTTTCTTTGTAATAATTTAACTAAAGTGGCAAGACATTTTAAATAGTATAGTTTGTTAAACACATTTGTAGAATAACACATATCCAGTAATGCAGCCACAAGTTAGGTGTGTCAGAGAGCATTACAACCCACTGACACACTCAAACATTAATTTCCCACATAAACTACCAAAAACCCAAAGATATTAGATTCATGTGACCCATTTTCCATGCTTACATTATTAGCTCTGAATTGTTAAAAAGGAAAGCATAAGGCAATTTCAAATGTAAATGTTGATGTTATTTCCACATTGTTATGGAGATTAAACCAACATCAGTCAGAAATAAATCATCACAAGAAGGTATTTGACCACCATTTAGAATTTAGATGGATGATGATCTGTAAAGGTTAATGTAGTTTTAGACTCAGGTTGTATCACAAGTTAATGGGACAGTCATCCATCCTCCTCATTCATATAAATAACATTTATTAGAGGGTGGAGGGGGACAGGCTAACGGATCACTCCCCTAAAGCCTATTCTTCCCCTCTCTGAAGACCGTTATTGTAAGCTATATATTTGTATATCATACAGCAGAACTACCCCAGCATGTATCACTGGTTTCCCTTTTATAACGGTAAAAAAGGAATATAGATAAGGAATACTAGAGGAATTGTACCTACTGTTTCAATACTCATCTGAGTATATGGTTTTCCTTGCACATTTGGAAACATCTGATCACCAGATTTTGTCTGCTTCTTTTTTAAATGGAGGCCTTTCGATAGGGAGACCATGACACTTATTTAAAGGGTTTTAATGAATATATGTACGCTGTTATCCAAAGCGATTTACTGACACATCATTATCACAGACAGGTCTCTGGGAACAAGTTGGTATGAAGTATCTTGCCCAAAGACACTTCGAAATGAGCCACAGCCACCTAGAAATAATGAACTTTGCTTAATAAAGTGAAATGCTACTACTTTATGTAAACAAATACAGTATATCTCTGTTTGTAAAGCAATTTTCTCTGAACGTCCAAACGCTGTTTTCACACCAATTTAGGAGACTATACATTCACACCATCGTCAGCACTCAATTTATTTCAACCCAGAAGGCATCACTCAAGAGAAACTGCAAACTGTTACTTTATAGAAGAAAGTAATTAAATGTAATGTAATAAATTAAAACATTTAATAAAGTAATCATTTTGTTCCCTCGTCTAATTTTAATGACAGTACAAATTAAGAATAGATGATAATCATGCAATATGGAAATCTGTAGAGAAATTAACAAATTGTACTGGGGTCCCCCAAGGCTCTACTGAAGGCCCTCTTTGATTCAAAATTAATATTAATAATGTACCACCTGGTTGAAGTGTTCCTGCCTGAAATCAAAGATTTTTGTTAAACAGGAAATATTATGCTCATGTTCAGGTTCATGTTAGTGTTTAGTGTCTCTACTGTGACATGTTGACATGCTTTAATGTTCAAAAAGCTCTTCATTTCTCACACTGCCTGTGCCTCTACCTCTTTTCACCCTCTGTCTGAAACCAGAGACATTGTAAAGCAGCAGTATTTGCAGCAAAGCTTGTGCAAGTTTTCAGATATATGTCTCTAATATTTCCTCGGAAGTGTTATATGTGTATAGTGGGTCAAACTGTTTGCATTTTCCAAATAAAAACTTCAAAGATCAGTGTCTGGAAATGTGTGGGGTACAAAGCCCTGTTTCCTGCTGTATATCAGCATAAATGCAATACATCTAGAAAGGTAAAGAATCCCAAATTTAAGATGAAGTTAAATCTTTCTTGTATTTACAATTTAGAAATAGCTGATGCTTTTTATGTCCATGTAGTAAAAACCCTGTAAAGCAGTATTCGCAGCAAAGCGAGACGTCATTGTCCTCTGATATTTTCCGTTTCTCAACAGGATAGAGAGACAATGAGCATTGAGGCATGTGGTCCTAAAACCACTGATTTCAGCGATGATATGACTGACTTTCATCCATGAAAAGAGTCCATGTTTTTGACAGTCTGCTATAAATCAATACGAGATGTAGATAAAGGCTGAAACAGAAACCTGCAGGTGTCACCAGGTGGAACACGGAGCTGAAGATAATCAAATCTGTCTGGAAAGCAGCTAGAGGTGTCATCTCAGACCTGGATTGTCCAACACAACTCACATCAAATAAGCTCAAACTCATGCAGTAGCCTTGTGTGTTCAATCCCTTTGAAGAAACCACATATGGTAATCTGACAAGGTGGTCACCTCTATTTTTGTCACTGGATGTGTCATGGGACGGTGCAATGGCAGACTGAAGACTGACAGGGAACAGAAAGTGCGTTCAAACATTGAGACGCTCTGCTGCGAAATGTCTGGTTAAGTTTTCGCAAAGGAAAAGGGAGTGGAGGTTGGATTTTGACAGCAGAATGACGTGGGTGATTCAGTCCTCCTGCATAAAGAACCAAAGAAGTTGCCCCTCTGATGACTGAGAGGAGGTCAGCTAGAGTCAGCTGTCAATACATTTCTTTATTTTTTTAAGATCAAACTTTTTTCTTTGTGAGAAGCCATCAACAACCATTATATTGACAATTTCTTAAGATGTCATTCACTTTTGATATATCTTTAGATGGATGCATCACTTATAGTGTTATGAAGAGTGCACAGGAAGTGAGCTGCAGTTGAATAACCAGTAATGCAATGCAGATGAACATGCACACAAGGGCAAGTGTAATTCAAGCCCTCATTTGAAAAGTGGCACGCAATATGTTTCCTCCTGTACGACAGAATACTTGAGTTTCTTCCTGTAGGACGATTCTACTGTGTTGAATAGAGGTCAAAGGTTGAGGTCAGCTACACATCAGCCATAGTGGCTCATTCAGAGATGCTTTTTCAACAAGGTGGATGCTTGGTAATAATAAACACCTCTAATTCACAGTTGTACGTATTCCTCAATGAACGTGTAGGTGGTCTTTAACAGCACGGTAGCAGATTGGATTTACTTCACTTTACTGCCCGCTGCTACCTACAACCTGTAATAAATGTTTTATAGATAAATGTAGGTATGCATGATACTAAATTGGGGTTAGGACTGTTTTTTGTTTTGTTTTTTATTGTCAGCTTATGTTCTTTCATTTATTTTTTCTTTTGTTAGTTTATTCCAGAATGTATTTATTTATTTTATTCATTTATTTTTGTATTTATTTGTGCAGTCATTTATTTTGTGATACCTACAATTTTCTTTTGTACTCCAAAATTGAACACAGTCAAGACTGGTTGTTTTTTATTGCTTATAATTGAATTCAGCTTTGGGTAAATTACTATTATTATTATTATTATTATTATTATTATTATTATTATTATTATGATTATTATTATCATTGTTATTATTATTATTATTATTATTATTATTATTATGTAAAGACATATGAGCTAAGTCTTAATCAAATATATTATATATTTGAACGACTCCTAGTAAACCGACTCTCCAAAGATCCTAATGTCCACCTCAGATTCATATTTATAGAAAAATACTTTGTTGTTTCCTTTGATTAAGCCACTGATCTGCTCTGGTTCTGATTATTTCAGATGGGCTAAAGGCATTAACGGGATTTTAGACGTACATGGTGACACCTATGAGGTCGTTGTGGATCACTCTTTCTTCACGGAGCCTGTTTCCTGTGAGGTCACCAACGCGCTGGGCAACACCAACATCAGCCGGAACGTGGACGTCTACTGTGAGTGCAGACCGGCTGAGATACATGACACATATGTGTTTTGTGTACATATATATGTCATAACATGCATTTATGAACAACTGATTTGTTTTCCCAGCTATGTTTTGTAAGGAAACTTGATAATTCCTCTGATTGTTGAAAGAAGCATTACATTTATAAACCACTCACAAGTCATGCAGGGGGTATAAACTGTGGGTGCACTGTACTATTTGTAGCATTTAACCTAAACAGATAAACATAATCAAATATATATATATATACTCCACCCTCTACTTCAATAAAATGTCATTGCATGTTCTAGGAAATGTACATCCAAAAACCTATATGGGAAAGCACATTGCAGTGGAAACAGTTCATCCTTCTAATTTGCATGTGATCGCTATTTTCTGAAGTCGCTGTCAGTGCCAGTTCAATTATGTCATTCTGCACATTAAGTAGCTATGTGTTTCTGTTTGTACTAACTATATAAATTAAAATGAGGCTTTGAAGCTGCATCTGTTAACCTCTCCCACTGAAAAAATACCTTGTGTTTCAGTCAACATGCTATATTTATCAGCCATAGGTTTCATGTACAATTCAAAATAAGATTGTTCATGCTTGGTGGTGGTGGTTTGGTTCAGACAGTACATCATTATGTCAGAAAAATAAAACCACACCTTTTGTCATCTGTCCAAAAAACAGACAAAGAGACAGACCATTTTGTTATTTGATTACAAAGATAGAGACTTCTAAACATCTTTTGTGTGTGTTAGAACTTATTAACAGAACCTTTTACAGATTTACGCGAAAAGATTCTCTGATATGTTTATTACCAACATTTTGGTAGAGATGCTATTCATCAAGGATTCACCTACGACACGTTAAAGCTTCCATCCTACAAGTTGTTTACAGAAGACTATGAAGATATATACAGTGTAAATACTTGAGGTAACGTTTGCCTAAATGTTAATTATAAATAATTACAGATCCTTTTTTTTGCATGTCTTCCAGTTGGGCCCCGGATGGCGGCGGAGCCTCAGTCTCTGCAGGTGGACCTGGGATCTGATGCAGTTTTTCACTGTGCCTGGACAGGAAACCCCTCTCTGACCATTGTTTGGATGAAACGTGGCTCAGGAGTGGTACGTTTTATTCACCTCAAGTGCATTGTACACAACAGTTTATTGAGACCATTTTAAAATGGCATGACAACAGTTATCGGAAACAGCAAGAGCTTGGGTTATGAATAAGATGTGAAGACTTAACAAAACAAATCAAGATTCAGTTGAAGATCAAGCAGCCTATTCACACAGAGAGCTTATTCTGCATATAAACAATCATAGTTGGCATGGGAGTCTTCAGATGATCATGGCTTTGCACTACCTCTTCAAAAACGTTCTTATCAAGGGATGGAATGTGCTAGAAGATAATCCGAGGTAACTCACTGCATTGAATGTGTGTGTTTGTGTCAACAAGTCCTCCAACTCATACGACCAAATAGGTCGATTGTTCAACAGCTTATTACGACCTATAGTCACGTTTTCAAGTTTAGCACCTCTAGTGGTCGTGTAAGAAACAACAATTTGCGGCAAATAACCCTCTCTGGAAAATCCTAAATTGTAGAATAGTTCGGCCATTAAAATGCTTTTTGATTAGATTTCTAGCGAGAAGTGTATATTGTACTTTTAGAATCCACGTCCAGTGGATGTGTAGGATCTATAGTTTGATAGATATTACGAAGATTATTTGAGGTCTCGCCAGGAGAACGTGTATGTCTTTCCCCCTATGTAAAGTTAGCGTCAACCCTCACGGGGTAAAAACTGTATTTCCAGTCTCTAAGTTTTCATAATAAAACTGTATTCCCCTCACTGTCAAATGATTTCACAGTGATATCTGCCGTACTCATCCACTAAAACACATCAGTTTATCCTTGTTAATTACACAACATTAATTGGTTTAAATTGTGTACACTGCTTTTGTGTTTTTCCCATAGATTTTTCCCTTTCGATTCTGAGAGACACGTTTCTTTTTTCAGAGGTTTTGATAGGCTAAAACATCGAACTACCCATAATCCTCAGCTATCGTTGAAGCTCGGTGATTGGATGTTTTAGCTGCAATGCACCTTGGGATATGGTGTTTATGCGATGTGAAATCCGAAAAAAAATACTTTATTCCGAGTGTGCTTGCTTTTCTCTTTGGAAGTCATCACATAACGGCATTGTAATACACGGTTCGGCTGCATTAAATATTACACATCTGCCGTAGTTCTCTATTTATAGAGCCCTGATTAGAAGACCTTTGGACAAACTTGAAGAAATGCCACAGAAACTGAATATGTGACGTGGATCATAAATATATCAGCAATTAAACAACATCTTCAATTTCTCTTCACACAATACGTCTCCTTGCAGTATCAATAGTAATTCTTATTGAATATGTTATATTTGATGAAAACATTTAAATATTAAGAGTAGCCTACATACAAAATAGGGGGAAAGTAGATGGTCAATGATAGAAATATAGAATAGAAAATATCAAGAAGATGCTGTAGTGATCTCTACAATAAAACAGTTTAGTGCAGGACGTCCAAAGATATTAACAGGAGGATGTGCAAAACAGAAAAACTAATAAGGCTTTATTTAAACATTAAAGAATACTTTAAGTTAAGGTCTTCTTTTGAATAAGAAAAAAACTTTGGGGGTATCTAAAGATAAATATTAAGCCTGACAAAGTACTTAACGTCTAATATATTGCATAGTTTATTTTGGCACTTGACAATCACCTTCCCTGAATTTTACTCAGGAGTAACTAAAGTCTGCTTTAAGGGTTGATTTCACATCATTAATCAGAATCTGTAAAGTAACTAAAATAAATGTAGTGGAGTAAAAATACCAGGTTAACCTCTGAATTGTAGTGGAGTAGAATTACAAAGTAATAATACATTGCATGTTGTACATGCTGCTGTAACAAAAACATTTCCCAACTTGGGATCAATAAAGTATATCTTATCTTATCTTATCTTAAAGGGGACCTATCATGCAAAATGCACTTTTGTACGTCTTTTATACATGAATATGTGTCCCCGGTGTTCCAGGGAACTCACCAAGTGTCAGAAAACACAACCCTCTCTATGTTCCTCTATACCCAAATCTCTAAAAAAGGGGCTGCAACGGATCTGATAAAAACTGATCCAGATTTGAACACTGTCCTGACGTCAGGACGGTGGCGCTACGGCTATTGGGCCAACTCCCCCAATCAGGAGGAGACAGCCACGGCCATTGCCGTTCGAAAGCGCTGGAGACGCTGTAGTACATATGCCAGGCCTGTAAGTGGCGCTGTAGTCTGCCACAAAAGCAGCGAAGAAGACTTGGTTACCATGGTTACCCTTCTGTTTATTCTCCGCTGTGGCTTTCTTTCTCCCTCCCCAAGGCAAGCGTTTGCTCCCGCTGCAATGCAATCCCTCCCCGTCGAGGCAAGCACTGTAATTTTCTCCGGTTAGTCCACCAGCAGATGACAAACACCCACCTCTCCGCCTCTTCCAAGGAACGAGGGGACTGTGCGGCAGAGTTTCAGTTTCAGTTTGTTTCGCCGGTCAAGATGTCCGTTAAAGTTTAAATCTTCCGGACAAAATTAGAAAAGTGCCGGTCAAAGGTCTTCTTTGTTATTTATTGAGCTTTAAAACAAATGAATAACGACTCTATATAATAAAACACGGAGATCTCTTTTTCTCCCCCTCTTCTGACAGCCCAGCAGCTGATCAGAGCACGACTCCCCTCTCCTGCAGGGGGGCGTGGTCAGCAGAATCAGACCCGTAGACAGCAAACAGGACATAGAGTGAAATGAGGCATGGCTAAAATGCATGATCTGTTTGGTATTTTGAAAACAGAAACGTATAAATATACCTTATATAGGTATGGCCCTACAATATATCATTTAAATATAGCATGATAGGTTTCCTTTAAGATGATCGATGGCTACTGCCATATTTTCAGAATTTGCCTCTGAACCTTGACAAGTGCATGTTTCAGGCTTATCAATTAATAACAGGAGTGGTCACAGACATAAGACCAGTTATTAAATAAAACTCTTCTGACCTGAGCTGTCATGTGGGTATATTAATGCTGCCCATTATGGACACAAGCAATTTTCACCCATTTATTAATTATATGTTTAAATTTGAGTGTTTCCTATCCCCTAAACCTCCAGGGATGTACACAGTTTAATACTGGCAACTTCTAATTATGGGAAATACGAAAACGTCTTTTAAAACAAAAATTCCCAGTAGAGACGTGCCATAGAACATGTTGCGAAACACAATTTGCCAGCATGTGTAGTTCTGGGGGGGGGGGGGCTGGACCCATTCGAATCCAGTTTTGGATAGTCTGCCGTGGTTATATCTCTCACAGGCTCCGCCCTCTACTGGACTCTATGGGTACTACCTTATCATGCAAGCATTCACCTACTGAGATTTCTATAGACGTAGCCGGCCCCGGGGCGGGCCTACCTGAATGCGTGCGCATCTCACTTCCCTATAAAAGGAGGCCTCGCCTCCTGACCACCATCCTTTACTCTTCCATCCTTCATTCTCCCTCTCCTGGGGAGAGTGAGGCGAGAACGTCTGGCAGTCATTCTGGTAGCACCGGATCGCCTCTGGGCTCCGTGGTACTCAGAAATGACGCAGATGAAGGTGGGCCAGCCCTGGGCGATCCCCCAGTTCTGGGGGGCAATGTCTCAAGAGGCAGGTGCAATCAGGGCGTTACCCACTCTGGGCCGTCCTCTTCAGGCTTGGCTCCTGAGAGGGACAGGCTGAGACAGGGTGGATTGTCTGACAGCGTTATTCAGTCTATCCAGGCAGCTAGAGCAGAATCCACCACAGCCTGTTACAGGCCGAAGTGGTTGAGATTCCAGCATTGGTGTGAGGAGCGGGGAATAGAGCCCCTATCTTGTGAGTTGGGCTCTATTTTATCCTTCTTACAGTTACTGGTGGACAGAGGGCTTGCTCATTCCACAGTGAAGGTGTATGCAGCAGCCATCTCGTCCTGTCATGAGGGGTTCAACGGCAGGTCAGCCTTCTCTCATCCACTGATGTTGCGGTTTTTACAGGGGGTCAGGAGGCTGCGCCCGGTGGTGCACGCCTCCGCCCCACAGTGGGACCTGCCGCTGGTGCTCGAGGCCTTGGTCACGGGCCATTTGAGCCTCTTGAGCTCTCCTCCCTGAAAGCACTGTCGTGGAAGACAGCGTTGCTACTTGCCTTAACGTCAGCCAAAAGAGTGTCCGAGTTAACCGCTCTGTCGGTGCACCCGAGCTGTTTATTGATTCGGGGTGACCAGAGTGGGGCGACACTCAGACCGAACCCCTCCTTTGTGCCCAAGAGCCTAAGGAGTGAGTTCAGGTCGAGGGCTATTCAGTTGGGGGGTTTTAGTCTTCCACCCCATGGGGGGGCTAGAGAAGCTAAATTACACCTCCTCTGCCCGGTGCGTGCATTAGCATATTATGTAGAGCGCACAGCTACCCTGAGACGCACTGAACAGCTGTTTGTGTGCTTCGGGGGCGGGGTGACTGGAAAGGCTCTGTCCAAGAAACGCCTGGCAGGCTGGCTTTGTGAAACCATTGCACATGCCTACAAGCAGGCAGGGAGAGCCTGTCCCACAGGGGTCCGTGCGCACTCCACACGAGCTGTGGCTGCATCAACAGCCTTATTCAGCGGTGTGAGTGTGGAGGATATATGTACGGCGGCGTCTTGGTCAACGCCAGGCCCCTTCATAAAGTTTTATCTCTTGGATATGTCTGGCTCTTTCTCATCGTCTGTGCTTGCTGTGGCAACACAGGACTGGTGAGGAGGGGGGGGGCTGTGGGTCAGTGGGCATCTGACCCCCTCCCCGGGCGTAAATGCGCTTACATTTCCCCGGACCCCTGGAGGGTCGCGGGGTGATGTAATGCGCTCTGGGCCCTTACAGGGCTGTAGGGCTCCCCTCGCCTGCCTGGGGGCAGGAGGGGGAGAGCCCTCCATATTATTGTCCCTACACACTCTGCACAGGGTCAGTGGCTGAGTGGGGGGACGTAGGGGGCACTTGCGTTCTCCCCGTGCTCTTTAGGGACTCAGGAGGGAGAGTGCTTAGTGAACCCATACTGGGCTGCAGACTTTCCCTGTCTGCCTATGGGCAGACGTAGGGGAGTCCTCAGCACTATTTTTGAGCACACTTTTTTGCGAGGCAAGCGCGTCAGGGTGTGCTCTATCGGCCGCAGCCCGGACTTCTCCACGGTTACAACCGAGGGAGAGGTGAGTGAGGCGCAGTGGCTGCTAAAGCCGGTCAGGGACAGTGAGGTGGATCGGTGTGCTGGACGACAGTGCGTGCATACATCGGGGCTCCGCCCACTGTACCCATAGAGTCCAGTAGAGGGCGGAGCCTGTGAGAGATATAACGTTGGGTTACGTATTGTAACCCTTGTTATATAAACACAGGCGGAGCCCTCTACCTTGGGGGGACTGTCTGTCCTATACCGCTCGCTGAAGAGTGGTGTAGGATGGTGGTCAGGAGGCGAGGCCTCCTTTTATAGGGAAGTGAGATGCGCACGCATTCAGGTAGGCCCGCCCCGGGGCCGGCTACGTCTATAGAAATCTCAGTAGGTGAATGCTTGCATGATAAGGTAGTACCCATAGAGTCCAGTGGAGGGCTCCGCCTGTGTTTATATAACAAGGGTTACAATACGTAACCCGACGTTTCATTCCATTTCAAAGAGCTGTTTGAAGCTCGGCGTAACCTTGGCGCTCTGCCACTCCAACATCCAATCACAGAGCTTGAGGACTAATCACGGGGTTTGTCAAGCAAAGCGGATGTTGTAGTCCCAAACGATAGCTGAGGATTATGGGTAGTGTAGTGTCTTCGGCCATCCTAAACTCCCAAAAAAACTATTTGTTTCTCCGAATCGAAGGTTAAAAACACAAAAGCATTGTACACAATTTAAACCAATCAATGTTGTGTAATTAACAAGGATAAACTGATGTTTTTTAGTGGATGAGTACAGATATCACTGTAAAATCATTTGACAAATGATCTTCGTAATATCTATCAAACTATAGATCCTACACATCCACTGGACGTGGATTCTAAAAGTACAATATACACTTCTCGCTGGAAATCTAATCAAAAAGCATTTTAATGGCCAAACTATTCCACAATTTAGGATTTTCTAGAGAGGGTTATTTGTGAATATACGACCCTCGGGAGCGTTTGCAATTGCCGCAAATTGTTGTTTCTTACACGACCACTAGAGGTGCTAAACTTTAAAACGTGACTATAGGTCGTAATAAGCTGCTGAACAATCAACCTATTTGGTCGTTTTTTGGAGGAGGACAGGCTGGTTTGTGTGTGTATGTGTGTGTCAAGGTTCAAGGATAAATTCTTGTTTTTCTTCGGAACAGGGTAGAACAAAAAAATTCCATCCATTCGTACATGTTACAAAAGAAAAACAGTAGTGCGTTCCTGCAGCGCATTTTTTGACAGCAGCAACAAAACAATGGTGAGTTCTCCGGCTGAAATTGTGTCATAAAAAATAAGACTTCATGGAAATATGTTCCATCAACTCTGGCGCCTGAGCAACGTGCATCACTCAATGATTATCGTGCACCCCCCCTTCCCTCTCTACTGCGCTCTGTCCTGGGGGGTTCTTCACACTTGGTGGAGTGTGGTTTGCAGGTGTGACTGTATGGACGAAAAGATGGTGTGTTTGGTGTTCATCTCAAGGTCCGCTGCAGTGAAAAAACTGTAAGGTTGACTTCAATTAATTGTATTATGTCAACAGATTTCACATGACTGTATTTGGTTAGTTTGGTTAAGCAATAATATTAAGTTGAGCCTTACATTTTTATTTAAACTTAATATTATTGCTTTCAACTAACCTAATACAGTTATGTGAAATCTGTTGACATGATACATTTAATTAAAGTCAGTGTTTTCCTTTTCTCAGTGTGCCCTATTATTTTTTTGTAATAAAGACATGCAGCAAACTTCATGCAAGATATGGCACTTGCACTGAAGTTGTCAAACAGTTTAACATGACTTCTTACAATAACAGGTAGTTTGTAACTTCCACACCTGCCTGTACCTAAAACATTCTAAATCAAAAATATATTTTTTAATGATAATACTGTAATTGTAGGTAGATGTGCAGCACACAAAATCAAACTGTCCTTGCTCTGCAAATACAAGGCATTGACATATTTCAATCACTGAACACAAATTCTTTCATTTTCTGCAGTGATTTGGAAAAACTGTACATTTTTTATTTCAAAATAAGGTACGCCAAAAACGTGCAGCTTTCCCTGAAAGCTCAAAGGAATAAATCAAATGTTCCTGTTGTAGCTGATTGAAGTGCTATGGATAAAAACCAGGTAAAACATCATTAATCAGAAGCCTGCGATTTGAATGACTAAATATTTCAGCTAGTCACATTTTTCACCCTGCAAACTGTGTGCGACATCGCTTACAAATTGTTGTCAGCGTCGAGCAGCTTGTTAAATCCTGCTATCCTTTTGTGTCAAAGTAATTGGTGCCTAACTAGATAGACATTACTAATTTCTCCTCCAACTTTTAAAACTGTTTCCCTCACAACACAGGTGCTTAGCAACAAGAGTACTCTGACAATGAAAGCAGTAAAGCAGGAGGATGCTGGGAAGTATGTGTGTCGGGCCGTGGTCCCCAGAGTGAACGCCGGGGAGAAGGAGGTGACGCTCACTGTGAATGGTAAGTTAAATGGCCATCATGCACTGAATGTCAATGGCACTTTGTCCTTTTTTGGGGGGGGGGGGGGGGGGGGGGGGGGGGGGGGGGAGAATCAGGTTTGAGGAGCAGGATTCTGGCCACTGTTATTATATTGAGATGATGGGAATCTAAATCTTTGTGTAGGATTGATTAAAATCTCAAACTTTATGTACAATTTTAATATTTGTTTTCTATGTTTTTGTATTACAATATCAAAATCTAAATAAAAATCTTAATTTATCCCAGGGGAAATATTTTGTGACAACATTTTAGAATGAATGAAATAACATCTAAAAAATAAATTTAAATAATAATGTCATTTTGCATACAAATAACAGAAGTTTAAGTATTATTAAAATAAGGATATAAATATAAAATAACATCTTGTACAGTATATATTGTAGGTATGAAACTGTCCTTGCTCTGTTAATACAAAGAATTTCAATCACTGAACATTAACAAATCTTTCATTCACTGCTGTGCTTTGGAAAACAGTCACAATGTTTTATTTCATAATAAATATGGCTTAGCTTTCCCTAAAAGCTCAAAAGAATAAATCGAATGTATATATAAAATGTTCACATGAATCCATGTTGAGTTTGCTTTCACATGAGTGGCGGGATTCCGTCTCCACTTTGGAAGCTTTCACATGTGCCTGTGCTGTACTGAACAGCCAGTACCTGGTAATGGGGGGCAATTTTGAGCAGAAAAAATAACACTACATTTGACAAAGACATGCTGAGAATTAAAAGCAACCGTCCCTGAGCCAAAATGGATGTATCAACATTTCCTTTCAAAGAATGAAAATTACCCAGAGATGATTGTGGACAGAGGAGACCCCCCCTTCAGCGCGGCCGTCACTGAGAGTTATTAAGGCTGCCTGTCATTGATTTCTAATGGCCACATTTCACACCTTTATCTCCACTTTGTGACTGATGGCCGCAGTACAATGAAAAAGGATTCCAACCTTTTTGAACGATTCAGTAGCTAGACAATACAGTTTAATAGAGAGATGTTTTAAGGTCAGCCAGTCGAAAGAAGCAAACACATTGACAAGCTGCAAGTTGTTCAACTTTACAACTAAGACGTTGTGAAGTCTTATATATTTTCACAGTGGCAGATCAGAGTGAAGGGAAACATGTTTTTCAGACTGAAGACTGAACTTGAGGTAACCTTTGTCAAGTCTTTACCAACTTTCAGAAAATAAGCTGTTTGTTAAGGGACAGTGTATCATGCCGGTAAAAAGTAAGCTATTCTCACATCCAAAAGCACAACGATGATTAATTATCTCTGTGGATATGGTGGTAAGAGATTATCATAACGTGTCATTTATGAGAATGTCCCCCTCCACTTACCTCCACCTCTCCTGCTCCATGACTCAAGTTAATGATTATGTGATTTCTTGTCAAGTGTAAAGCAATGACAGAGCGGCAGTCGTTGTCGATGAAAATGTTAGATCTCAGGCTCCTTAAACAATGCTCATTAAATATGCTATCTATCACTGATTTTATTTCTGTAAACAACAAGAAGCCATGCCCTGAGGGCTGTCTGAGGAGAGCATTTATTTGAAAAGAGAAGAAGAATGTTCTATGGTCAGCAGTTTGTGGAGTGTCCTCAGTGTCAGGGCTGTCACTCAGTGTTCAGAGCGTCAGACCCTCCTCTGATCCAAATGTGGGGGGGGTTACTCTCTGTCTGACAGCCAGTCTAAAAACATGAGTAACAGCTCTAAAGCCTCCTAACTGATCAGATTAACCTGATTAATTGACCTTTTTTATTTCGTTTTTTTATGCATAACATACAGTACAGTATAATGTTTCTTTGTTTTGTTACAGTACACTGAAAAAACTGAAACACTGACTTTAATTAAATGTATCATGTCAACACATGTCACATAACTGTATTAGGTTAGACGAAAACAATAATATTAAGTTGAACCTAATGTTTTTTATTTAAATGTAATATTACTGCTTTCAACTAACCTAATACAGTTCTGTTGACATTATTCATTTAATTAAAGTCAATGTTTCAGGAGGTAATGTTCAAAACTAATGTCACTATGGTAACTGATGAGGATGTGTGCTGGTGCTAAAACAACCTTTGTTTCCGTATTACATTCCTTATCTTGGAATGATTAGAATCTGTCAGAGGAGAGCACGTATGTGTGTGTTTGTTACTAATGTAATTGAATATATAAATAACATTCATTGATCTATACTGCTGATTTAAATTACAAAAGTAAATGTGAGAGTTACAAAGTAGAGGAAACTGAGAATTTCAAAGACGTTGAAAGACGCAAAGACGTTTGGCTCAGGTCCATGTTGTGATGATGGAGTCTCTGTCCCTCCACAGGTCCCCCCACGATCTCCAGCACCCAGACCCAGCAGGTGCTCTACGGAGAGAAGGGTCAGATCAAGTGCTTCATCCGCAGCACCCCCCCTCCCGACCGCATCGTGAGTCATGTGATTCCTCATTCCATTTACTCATTCATATCCATGTAAGAGACATTCGGTCAGTGTGGGGGATGCATCTCATTAGGCTGAAACACTAATGGCGCATTTCCACTGCAGCGCGTAGCACGGTTTAAGCGTGCCGTGCCAAACCCGGCCGGTTTTTTGTTGCGTTTCCACTAGGAGTAGTTCCGGCTAACGGGTACCTTTTCACAGTTTTTCTGGCCCTCCAAAATCGTGGTTCTTTCCGGGCCAACAACCGGGCTGAATATGCTAAACTAGTGACGTGAGTGGCTACAACTACAACACAATGAACATATTTTACCGTGATTTAATTGTAATACACGTTTCAAAATGATGCCGAAGTAACAACATACTGATACCGGTTAGTAAAAACCATGAATTAATGATTTGACAAGTCTGCAGACAGACGGCAGGCGAAAAACCTTTTAAAATGCGTGTTTTCTGAATGGAGATCGGCTAAGCTAACGTTGTATATGCTCCGACCGTCCACACTCACAACAACGGCCTACAGACATAAATAAAGCAGCGACTGTATTCGCCATGACACAGACAGTCTGTGGTTTGTACTTGTTTAACTTTTGTCTAGTTTCTGAACATATATGAGGAACTGTGAGCTTGAGTGCTAACAGCTAACGGCTGATGTTTGGTTTTGTGGTTCGCATTGAAGATGGCGTCACAGCTCCGCCTACACTGCGTTACTATAGTTACTGCCCCAGCTACTAAACTGTAATGGAAACGCAGCATAAAGTGAGCCTGGCCTACCAAGGCCTAACTATACCGTACTAAGCCGTGCGAGGCCCTGTAGTGGAAATGCGCCATAAGGCACTGAAACAGAGCCAGAGGCCACATTCACAGACACATATGAATGAAAGTAATACATACTTTATTTATGCTTGAATTGAACTTTTTCATGTATAAAAACAGTACATTACTTAGTTATTCACAACCCTAACCCTAAGTACGAGAAAATATTAGATCATTCTTGACGCCCACAGTGGTGAGTAATATGAATTCTCTCAAGTAGGATCATCAGGAAACCATGCCAACAATAGCATGTTGTAAAGAAAATAAACGGAAAACTTGTTATGTTATGTTTGCACGTGTGTGTGTTTATGCGTGAATTAGCATCTGGTTTCAGTTTAGCCCCTCTAACACGTTTGCTGTGCCTCAGGCCTGGTCCTGGAAGGAGACGGTCTTAGAGTCGGGGACGTCTGGACGCTACACCGTGGAGACAGTCAGTACCGATGAGGGAGTGATCTCCACTCTGACCATGAGCAACATCGTCCCCGCTGACTTCCAGACCATCTACAACTGCACCGCCTGGAACAGCTTCGGCTCCGACACGGAGATCATCCGACTGAAAGAACAAGGTGAGGACCACACAACCCAGTCTCACGGCATTTCATGTTATAGTCACAACATGTAATCTTCATATTGACCATATTGACCATTTTTAACAACAGAGGGTGCTACATACAGTAACACACTTTCAGGAAAAGTCACAGATTGGGAGACTTGAATATTTTATTGAAAAAAAGTTACATACAATAAAAAAACAGCTGCGGGTAAAATGTACCCGTTGGCGGTTCTAGTGTTATTCACGGGGTTTGTCAAGCAAAGGGTAGTCCCAAACGATAGCTGAGGATTATGGGTAGTGTAGTGTCTTCGGCCATCCTAAACAGCGAAAAAACTATTTGTTTCTCCGAATCGAAGGGGGAAAACACAAAAGCATTGTACACAATTTAAACCAATCAATGTTGTGTAATTAACAAGGATAAACTGATGTTTTTAGTTGATGAATACTGCAGATTACTATGCAAACTTCGAGACCGGAAATACTGTTTTCACCCCAAGCTGTTGCCTGGCAACGCAATTCTGTTGATAGTTATTTCATATCGCATTAACACCATATCCCAACGTGCATTGCGGCTCAAACATCCAATCACCGAGCTTCAACCATAGCTGAGGATCTTGGGTAATCATTGTGTATTGCCTACGTCTGTTTCCGGTGACTTTATTTTGAAATTCAGTTCCTGACGGACGGCAAAAAAGCCCGATATTCTAGAATTAAACAAATAAATAAAAACAAGGATAATTGTGTGTTATTGTTGAGTAAATAACAGTGTGTTATTTAGAAAAGAATAACAAATTACGAGGAAAAAAAGATTAAAAAAATACAGATTTCCGTATTCTGAGGCTCTGAGCCCCATTTATTTTCCTCACGGACGGCAAAAAAAGTCAGACATTATACGATTTAAAATAAAAACAATAATCGTGGCTTGATATTGAGTAAGAAAGTGAACCACACAGCTTCCGGTCATCCAAAACCCAACGGGACAAAAAGACGTGGTGCAGGCACAAAACATACTACCAATAGAAATACATTGCTTTGAAAATAAATGATTTCATGTAAAAAATAATGAAACATGCTGTTATAACAGCAGGAGCCAGCAGGTATCAGTTATTAAAAATGTTTGATACATTTTTACTCAGACATTATTGATTGTACCCCGGAATTTCCTGAAAGAGCAGCCTGAGTGTTAGTAGCTGTGTTTGATGCCCAGAAATAACTGAATTCATAAAAAATACAAAAGTTTTACCTCAAACAACCTAAATGCATTTATTTTCTGATATGTCAATCTTTTAAAGTCATGAATTTCCCAATTTGGGATCAATAAAGTATCTATCTATCTATCTATCTATGAACAGAAAAAAAAGAATACACACTTTTGTTACATTTGTTTTTGTATTAATGCTGCCAACTAGGATGTAACGATACCAAAACTCACAATACCGTAATATCACGATAAAATGTGTTATACACAATTTGTTATAAATGATAATATCCACAAAGAGAGAAACATTGATGACTCAAAACATGATCAAATAATGATTCTGAAGTGTACAGCACCTTTACTCTTTTACAATCACTTTTTCTTTCTAACCCAAAGCTTTTTTAAATTAAAATAAAAGTAGCGATGACCTGAGCAGCTGCAAAAAGTGGAATACATTTCCTCTGGCAGTGATTAATACGGCCTGGGCCTGGGGCAGCTGAAGCTGGTGTTGGCCGGAGGAGAAGCCCCTGCTGCCAGAGTGAAGCCCCCCACCCAGGAGCTGTGTCAGTACTACACTGAAACTGTTTTATAACAGTGTGTAATTCTTCTGCCGAGCTACACAGGGCGGGTCCTGCCAAGAACAGCAGTTGGAAGCAGTTGGCTTTCACTCAAAGGATGAAGAGAGTCTGTCTTCTTGACTATTATGAACATACACTCTGAGTTTTTTGGGATATGTGGAGATTCAATATGTTCCGACTTCCAACAGCTGAATAGAGGTGCTGAAATAGGCCGCATGCATGCACATATATTAATCTACCAGAATGTGGATTGACTCAAAAAAGCGTCGCTCCATATCGCTTGTCAAGAACTCCACAAATTCAATAAGGTCAGGCAAATATCACTTTTAAAATAAACCTTCGTCAGAGATTGAACATGAGCTGTTCATATACTAGACCATCGCATAGAACTCTACATTTATTCATTTGTGTCAATAAGATATTTTAGGACATTACATTTCCTGGCCTCTGCAGACCAGTCCAATAAGTGCACTAATGTGTTGTGACAGAGTGATATCTGTCTATTTCCTGGAGGAAATAAATATTTTCCTGAGTGTGATTAATACCTGAGATAACTTTCGATGTAGGGTTGAAGTCATCCATATTTAATCATCTTATCTGTGAAATTGATTTGTTTTGTTAGGGATTCTCAAGATTTAAACTTGTATAATCCTGAAATAGTGTAAGCTGTTCTGCTCTTCCCTAAAGAGTCTGAGTTCCAGCAAAAGCCTGGTCTGAGTCGCTCCTCTTTTCAGCATCACTTCCAAATCTCATTCTGAACAATGAAGGTCAAACTATAACTTTGGTCTTTAAAGCTTCTCTCTTGAATTATGTCTCCTGGCCGGCCTGTCAAAGCCACTTAAGGACACACAATTCCCTGCTGGAAAGCTTCCAGAGCTCCTATCATGATATCTACAGAAAGATATTGAACAAAAGCTTTGGCAGAGGCCTGTGTGTTGATGGAAATTGTTCTCAGCCTGTAAAGCGTAAACACTGGCCTCATAAATAATAAAACAAATGACGTGTGTGTGGTTGTGTGTTGGTGTGTGTAAAAGAGCATGAAAAAGAAGAAGCAGCTCAGTTTAGTCTTTGAAAGGTCCTGCTGTGTGTGTGCAGAGACGCTGCGGCTGGCGGTCATCATCGGGGTGGGGGTGGGGGCCTTCCTCGCCCTCTCCATCCTCCTGGGGACCCTCGGCGCCTACTGCTGCACCCGATTCCAGCGGAGTGAGTTCCCCTCAGACAAACACATCAAAAACACAGTGTTTGTTCATTTTTCATTCAGTTTTTTTAAATGGTGGCAATGAATCCTGATCATGATATGTTTTACCTCGTCAGTGAGTCCACTTCATTGTCAATTTCTCTGTTTGTGTGATACAAAAAGGAGATCTAAATGCTGTTTCTCACCGTCCCAAAGAATAATAATATATATAGCCATGTATATACATACACACCTGTACACCCACCTATATTATTTTCATATACACATACATACTCATGCATAGACACATTTATACATAAACACATTAAGACATTGTACCACTTCGTGTTGCTTGATTCAAAGTTAACACGTTTTTTTCAACACAAGCTGAAGAGATTTTGAGTTTTGTTCTATGACATAAAATATGACAGCAAACACTCCACTGATAACTGTCTGAAGCTTTCATGTGTCTTAAATCAGCGGCTGCTAACAAGTGACTAAATCAGACTAATTAAAGTCATCACGCCAAACATTATCCGCCTCTTGCTCAGCTTTGGTGATACACTGCCATGTGACTATAATGTAGTTTTAGTATGGCCTAACGTCAGCGTTTTACTTGCTGATTGCATTTACGCTTTAAAAAATCCTTAAGTGGTGTTAAAGTGTATAGATCATCCTGCTTAGCAAAAGGTCTAAGTATTGTAAACGTGTTTTGCCACAGATCTTATTTTCTGCATTATTACAAAAGATTCCATTGCTGTTTGGCATGGGAGCTCCCTGTATTAGGTCCAATCACTATAACATCATTGTTGCACCACTCTATGGTTTACAGTGTCACAGAGAAATATCTGCTAGCGTTAGCTGATGTTAAACATCCTTCTGTTCAGTTTCCTTGATTTGGGTTCGTGCCCAAGTTGACCTCCAGCTCTGTTTCCGCACAGCCCTTAGAGGGTCATTCTGGTCTTATTCTAAAGATATTTGACTTTTCCTCTGTTTACATCTCCTTCACTGCAGGAGTTCATGAATTCCTGCCCCACATTATCACTGCTAGTCCTTCCAGAGCTTGGTGGCCTGTAGCTCTGTCACTGGAACAGAGTGGAACATCAGAGGGAACATCAGAGGGAACAGAGCTTTGAGATGTGTCTGCTAACTCCTCTGTGTTTGTTTCTGTCTACAGAGGATGTCCATCTGGTCATGTCTTCTCTTCCCGTGTCTCTTTCGCGCCAGAGGGATGTGAAACCAGAGAGTAAGGCCTTTGTTACAGAGTGTGAGAATGATTCAATGTTTGCAGTTTGATGGGCAGTGACTGCAGAGGCTTGTTGAGTCTTTTTGCCAACTGTATTTAATATTATTCTAAATAATTCAAATGTTACCCTCAAGTAATGCAAATAAATTATATAAGCCTTAGCAGAGATAGTCCTTCTCTGGGTGACAACATATTTCCAATGCATACTAAAGAATAAGCCCTTATGACAAATATCTAAATTCAACATGAGATTTCCCCATCATTCAGTGAGAATCAGCTTCAGGCTCTGAACGAGCAGAGGCGGTAGAAATCAGACAGCATAGTGGAACCTGCTGTCGTTTCAGTTTTTTCAGAGCTGTACTATTATGAGGCCAATACGGAGACAATCAGTTGTTTTTATTTGTGTCTCTTAGTTAAATGAATGGGAATGAATCTGTGTTGATTAGTTGAATGAATGTTTTTCCTGTCATGTCTCTTTGTTAAATGTAATTCATAATTAGGCAGCAGCAGCTTCTCTTGGAGGCCTCAGGCAATGTATTTGTTGGTCTGTATTGCATAATTAAAACAATAATGATGGCACTTGTGAAGTACTTGATATCTAGTTACAGGAGTAATGTGTGGGCAGTCTGTTATTACAGTTACTAAAGAGCCTCTTGTTCTTTGTTCAGTGATAACAGCAGGCTTTACACAAACCTGCCTTAGTAACAAGCTGGCCAATCAAATTCACCTGATCCACCAACCAAGGTAACTACTGACCAATAGTGGAAGCCTTTTTCTAGAATTTAAGTCTGTTGCTAAAAACAATAACTCTCTATTATATTACTATAAATAGTTTATAGAAGTTTAGAGAACATGTTTGAGACTCTTGTACTTTGTATAAAGCGTGCTATGAAACAGTTGGATAACAAGCATTCAAAGATTAAAACATGAAAGTGCACCCCGAGGGAAGCTGTGTTCCTGCTCTGAAGCGTTGGTTTGAAGCTATTGTTTCCTTCTCATTTAATGTGAAATATTCACTTTGTAACTTTGCACCGCTTAGCAATGTTGTACCAAGAGAATGCTAGTTGATTAGTTTAATATTAGCCATAGTACTGGGAGAACATTTGCAAAGTGAAGAACAGCCTGCACAAGCCTTTCAGTTTCTATCTAAAGACTTTCAGAGTGCCGAAAGAGAAAAATAAGTGCAGTATTCTCCGAATGATTTTACATACAGTAAGCTTGTTGTGGCCTCTGTGAGATAAAGTAACCTCATCATAGTGTCAGGCCAGAGTCAGGCATTTCATATCCATACTGCTGGGCCAGCTATAAACAGCTGCATTATTAGATTGCAGATATTGATCAGTGTCGTTCTGTGGGGTTCTGGATAACACTCGTGAGTGTTCAAGTGCTTAGTAAGCAGGGGTGACGATAAAAATGTATTCTGTTACAATTATTAATGACCTGTGAGAAAAAGTAACCTAATCTAAGTGCAAAATATAAAACGAATGTAACCTGATTACTTGCCCTTAAAATTGAATGCAATGCAAATAAAGACAAAAGAAAGGAAACATCAATAAGGTGTTTTTAACAGAACAACGTGACCTTAGAAAATAAGAAATCAATATATTTTCTTTACCAAAAATGTGTCATTTCTTTTTTTAAACAGAACTGTGAATAGAACAAAAGCATAGCAAATACAGTATAGGTGTAAAGACACCAGAATAAATTATAGGATATGCCTACAGATGTTATTTTAGTTTAATAAATGAATTAAAAGCATACATAGTACTTTTGTTCATCAAATCAGGCGCACTTGAAAAAGTCCTGTGGAAATGAGCTTTTTCAATCTATCATTCTTTATTTTAAATGTTTTAATTGTATTGTAAAATTGTACTCCTGCTAGTTATCAGTCTTATTACAACTTTTTGAATGTAAGTTAATACAGTTAAAACATTTTTTATTACTGATTACATAATCCTGTTACATGTATTCCTATGGAGCTAATTTCCTGCCATAACTCAACAAACAAACTAAACAGGTTTTACAAATGCCTTATGATTCACTAACAAACACAATGTGGTTTGCAAATACAAAACACCATCTACAAACTAATGAATTTAGTTTTGCAAAGAAAAAACGTATCTATCAAACAAACACATAACATTTTTCTAATAAATCATGTTTCAGAGACAAATTCAGCTTAGGTTTTACAAGTACACAACTTTTTTTTACAAGTGCACAAATTTGTTTTACAACTACAACACTTTGTTTTACAACTACAAAACTTTTTTTTACAAGTACAAAACTTTTTCTTCTCACGGCGGAATATTACTGCCAAAAGTCACGTGACTGGAATATTACTGCCAAAAGTCACGTGACTGAGACTTTTGGCAGTAATATTCCGCCGTGGCTGGCTCATACACAGTCACACATGCTCACTCACACATGCTACACGGCAGCAGGGGGCGCTACTGAGTCCATTGGGAAGACGGGAGGTTGAGCAGAGCATGGAACAGCTCTTGCCAGTCTGATGACAGGTGTTATAGTGATAATATTATAAACAAGGTGAATTTAGCGATCACAACGAAAACAGCCAAGACACATATTGAGCCCAGAAAATAAATGTTATTAGGGGCTGTAAATATAATAAGCCTTTGTCTAAAATGGACAACATTGTAACTAAAGAGATTTAAACTATATATACAGCCAGGGGACGTTCGGGACGAATCCCGATGGGCCGGTACTGAAGTGGGCCGGTCGGATAAGTCACTGCTCACCCCCCCTTCCCCCCCGTCGACAATTTCCTCGCGGTATTTACTTGCGGCACCACCGAGGTGGGCCGCTTACTTGCGGTACCGAGGTGGGCCGGCGGTACCGAAGTGGGCCGGTCGAGAGTCCCGGGCTGATTTGTTGTCCCAGTCCGCCCCTGTATACAACGATTCTGCACTCGGTCAATCAGCTGCTTTTCATTTTTATTCCTGCTATATTCAATGAGTGATACAAATATTTTTTACCACAAGTTCTTAATAAAACTGACACTGTTGGACTTGGTACTAGTTGACTGCAACCAGAAATAAAATGAAGTACTTTACTGTGTACTTTGTGAGTAATCCTCTGTCAGAGTCCCCTCCATAGTACATAATGCATGTTTTTTGCTATCTTTGATGAATGATAAAAATAAAATGTTACCATTAGTTCTTAATGAAATTGATACGGTTTGACTTTGTATTAGTAAGCCTACTACTAACAATACATTGAAGTACTTTTACTGTGTATTTTTTGAGAAATACTCTGTCAAAGTCCCCTCCTGTGAACAAAATCAAGCCACTTCTGCTAAGTTTGATGAGGGAATTCTTTTTTGTTGCCATTAGTTCTTCGTGAGATTGATCCTGTTGGACTCAGTACTACTGAAACTACCCCCACAAGTACTATGAAGTACTTATTGTGTACTTTTCCAGTAATCCTCTGTCAATGTCCCCTCCTGAGTACAAGAATGCATGTTTTTCTTTTAATAAGCGTTAAAAAACATTTCTTCCTGAGACTGATATTGTTGGACAGAGTATTTTAAGAGGATGGTAGACATGATATCAGCAATACTTCCAGTCAGTACTCCGGCAGCAGCATTTTCACACCTTGGAAAGTCTTTAGAGTCTGGCCTGGAATGGATAGCTGGTCACAAATATCCTTCAGCAAAGTAACACACTCTGTCACATGGTTGCCCTCTTATGATGCTGCTGTCTTTTAATATATAATTATTCCTCTGCCGCTAGTTCGTTCCTCGCAGATTCTTCAGTCTCATCAGCCTCATCCTTCCATCAGTCCCAGTTAACGCCTCCAGCCCACTTCCAGTATCTGACTCCATATGATATTGTCCTGATGCTGTAAGGGTGATGCCCCATGATCACAAAATGACCCCTCTAGAGTGCCAAGGACCTCATATTATGTCTGTCATTAATGTTACATCACCCATTAAATCACCCAAAAAATATTTTTTTCCCTCATCAAACTTAGAAGAAGTGGCTTGATTTTGTTCTCAGGAGGGGACTTTGACAGAGTATTTCTCAAAAAAATACACAGTAAAAGTACTTCAATGTATTGTTAGTGGTAGGCTTACTAATACAAAGTCAAACCGTATCAATTTCATTAAGAACTAATGGTAACATTTTATTTTTGGGTCATTCCAGAATTGGAGGACATTTCATGTCCCCCATATAAAAAATCTAATAATCCATGCCCAAAAAGCTAAGACATGCACTTGTTGTGTTAAATATACTTGTCTTGAGACAAGATGCATATAAAGTTGTAGAAAAAGTGGTTTCAAAATATTATTTAAAATATCAAATAGCTCTCGAACACCCCCTAAAATTGCCCTTTTCTCTTGTCCCAGCTTCTTGGTGACCAACTTGCATGTCAACTATAACATTTAAAATAGGGTTTTTATTTACTTTTTTGGTATTATTCTATTGATATATGTGTCTTGTAATGGTAAAATCAATTTGTTAAATCATAAACACATTTTAAATAACAGTAATTTTGCACAGAAGGTGTGTCCCTCAACATGCGCGCAACCCTGTTACCGAAACCTTTTTAGCTTGGCAGAGGAAGTGAAAAAACTGTTTGCCGCATGACACAGTGGAAAGGACATCAGCAAGCCATGTGCTACTACCATGGGTAGACCAAAACTAAGTCCTTTCTTTTATTTGTAATATATTTCCAATCTTGTCACTCTTGAAGGAGTGTGGCACTCATACAAACGCAACCCTGTTACTCAAATTATGAGACAAAAACAAATTAATTTCAAATGTATCTTTCTTTTGTTAAATATATATAAATATAAATATAATATAAAGTGTGTCCATTCCTTGACAATAGCATTACATTGTGCAGCTAGCATTAATTCCTGAGGTAAAAGCTAAAATTAGCATTGATTTTCAACCCTGTTACTTGCAACCCTGTTACTATAATTAGAGTAACAGGGTTAATTCTTCATTGGAAAATATACATTTGATGCCTTAGCTGGGCAAATCACTTTTTTTTATGGTTTATTATCTGTTTTTCCTAAATACATAACAAAAAATAATCAAATGAAAGGTTCATTTTTCAAAAATGTTGGTGTCTAAATTGTCCTCCAATTCTGGAATGACCCTTTTATCATTCATCAAAGATAGCAAAAAACATGCATTATGTACTATGGAGGGGACTCTGACAGAGGATTACTCACAAAGTACACAGTAAAGTACTTCCTTTTATTTCTGGTAGCAGTCAACTAGTACCGAGTCCAACAGTATCAGTTTTATTCAGAACGTTTGGTAAAAAATATTTGTATCACTCATTGAATATAGCAGGAAAGAAAATGAAGAGCAGCTGATTGACCGAGTGCAGAATCGCTGTATAGTTTAAATCTCCTTAGTTACAATGTTGTCTATTTTAGACAAAGGCTTATTATATTTACAGCCCTAAGAACATTCATTTTCTGGGCTCAATATGTGTCTTGGCTGTTTTCGTTGTGATCGCTAAATTCAGATGCTGGATCGCTAGAAACACCGCTGTCATGATCAGGCTGGCAAGAGCTGTTCCATGCTCTGCTCAACCTCCCGCCTTCCCAATGGACTCAGTAGTGCCCCCTGCTGCCGTGGAGCATGTGTGAGTGAGCATGTGTGAGTGTGTATGAGCACAACCACGGCGGAATATTACTGCCAAAAGTCACGTGACTCAGTCACGTGACTTTTGGCAGTAATATTCCAGTCACGTGACTTTTGGCAGTAATATTCCGCCGTGAGAAGAAAAAGTTTTGTACTTGTAAAAAAAAGTTTTGTAGTTGTAAAACAAAGTGTTGTAGTTGTAAAACAAATTTGTATACTTGTAAAAAAAAGTTTTGTAGTTGTAAAACAAAGTGTTGTAGTTGTAAAACAAATTTGTGCACTTGTAAAAAAAAGTTGTGTACTTGTAAAACCTAAGCTGAATTTGTCTCTGAAACATGATTTATTAGAAAAATGTTATGTGTTTGTTTGATAGATACGTTTTTTCTTTGCAAAACTAAATTCATTAGTTTGTAGATGGTGTTTTGTATTTGCAAACCACATTGTGTTTGTTAGTGAATCATAAGGCATTTGTAAAACCTGTTTAGTTTGTTTGTGGAGTTATGGCAGGAAATTAGCTCCATATATTCCGTTACTCCCCAGTGAGTGAGTGAGGGTCTCACTGCAGGCTGGGGGAGTGTGGGTACACACCACAGTCTTCATTACCCTTGTTGCAATTCAAACGCTGGTTGTGAAGCTGCCATTAGCACATAGACGGACAGGGTAGGTTACAGAACAATGCATCATCAGCCTCCTCCAATCAGCCGCTCCGTCTCTCCCTCTCCTCAGGTCTCAAAGGAGCGGGTAAAGTCAAAAATGACATTCGAGTGGAGATCGTCCACAAGGATCACAACGCAGCGCGGGAGAGCGAGGAGCACACGAGCATCAAACAGATGATGGTGAGGGAATGCTGTGTGATGCTGCCGTTTGTCATCACTGATGTGCATTCTCTCATGCTGTCTGGTCTACAGTATTCACAATTTATGACTACCAAAGCCTTCTTTCTTTTTACTTTAGTTTTTTTGAGTTTTGTTTGTACATTCAACAAAAAACATTGTACATGTCAAAGGTAGAGCACTAAAGAACAAGCACATAAATAAAAGATATTGAAAACAAAATAAACATCAAACTGAAACTGAACAGCCATGGTTACAAGTTGCTGTTGTCAGGGTTGCATATTGTATAGTCTCTTGAAAAGCATACATTAGTTTGCCTTGGACATTTTCCACTGTGTCATAAAAGCTCAATTTCTTCCATTTACTAACCCTCTCACTGCAAGTTGGTATGTCATTTCTTCCATTATATAGACCTCTTTTATAATATCCATCCACTGTTCTTTAGTATGTGGCTCAGCCTTACACCAGTTTCTTGTTATTGCTTTCTTACTTGTTATTAACAGTATCTTAGATAAGTATCAATCATTATCAATCGGTATAAAATGTTGCATTCCTTGGGTATTTAATAACCCAGAATGTCTCAGATAGTAGCATGCACATTGTCCCAAAAGGCACTTAGTTTATGACATTCCCAGAAAATGTGTGTATCTGTATTCCCACCTTAACGCCAACATGTCCGCTGTGAACCCACTAAAGCCTTATTATTAACTTTATATGAACTGTGCTGCAGATTGAGCGCGGGGAATTCCAGCAGGAGCCCGTGCTGAAGCAGCTCGAGGTTCTCCAGGAGGAAGAGAAGGAGTTCCAGCACATCAAGGTGGGTGAGAATATTCAGGCAAAATGTCAACTGCAGGAAATCCAGCGGGAAATGTGATGGCTGAGCTTCAGAGAGCCAATTAGCCTTTTATTTGCCGAGGCAAAGAAGAAAGCGTTCAATAAGAAGTGGCTGCACATTATGCAGCTGCATAAAAACAATGCCTGTTAGCAGAGGTGTGAAGTAACTAAGTAGATTTACTCAAGTACAATTTTGAGGTACTTTTACTTTACTATACTACTACTCCACTACATTTATTTAACACCTTTAGCTACTTTCAACAAAATGTATCTCTAAAAATACAACTATTGGACTTACTCTTTAAGTCACATGATTTAAATATTTCACAAAAAGTCAATCAGAACTGTGTTTTTCTACAACAGTGAAATGCTATTTGATGCAACAATATTATCTAGAAATATCACATGTATAAATATAATTGTCTACACACATAGAAAAGACAATTTTTCTGCACAATTATTACTTTAAATGTGTATACTTTAAGGACATTTTGCTGATAATACTTTTGTACTTTTCCTTAAAGTGGACCTATCATGCTATATTTGAATAATATAGTGTAGGACCATACCTATATAAGGCATATTTATACTTTTTTTTTTTCAAAATACCAAACAGATCATGCATTTTAGCCATGCCTCATTTTGCTCAAATTGCACTTTTTTAGCACTGTTTTTGCAAGGGCTGATTCTTCATTTCATTTCAAACCTTTATTTATCCAGGTTGTATCCCATTGAGATCATTGACCTCTTTTTCAAGGGAGACCTGCTCAAGTAGGTTCCACATGAAACATTAAAAACATAAACAGAACAACAAAAGGACATCATACAGTAGCATTACAGGGATTACAATTTACATAACTATCCACATGCACAGGTACCAACAGCTTCCGATTGAGTAGCATCCAACCGAGCTTTAAAAACATTGAGTGGCACCAGATTGCTCAGTTTCCATTTTAATTGCAGACTATTCCAGGACAGTGGAGCTGCGCATCTAAATGCTATCTTCCCTAAGACAGTCCTAGCAGTTGGCACATTTAATAAAACCACAGCATGCGATCTCAGGCAGTAGCCACTTACAATTCGCCGTGAGATCAGCACCACCTACAGGCCTGGCATATGTACTACAGCGTCTCCAGCGCTTTCGAACGGCAATGGCCGTGGCTGTCTCCTCCTGATTGGTGGAGTTGGCCCAATAGCCGTAGCGCCACCGTCCTGACGTCAGTAACGTGTTCAAATCTGGATCAGTTTTTATCAGATCCGTTGCAGCCCCTTTTTTAGAGATTTGGGTATGGAGGAAAATAGAGAGGGTTGTGTTTTCTGACACTTGGTGAGTTCCCTGAAACACCGGGGACACATATTCATGTATAAAAGACGTACAAAAGTGCATTTTGCATGATAGGTCCCCTTTAAGTTATATTTTTAATGCAGGATTTTACTTGTAATGAAGTATTTTGACAATAATGTATTGGTACTTTTACTCAAGTGAAGCACCTGAACACTTCTTCCACCACTGCCTGTTGGTGTAATGTGAAGAAGTACATGCTAGCAGAAGTGACAGCACAACACATGCGGGGGCGTTCCAATGATTAAAGTCATCTTAGTTAAATGATGTTCACACCTTTTAATAGTCATTGACTAATTTAGCCATTTGATATTATATATATGGACATATATATGGTAGGCATAGATTACCGCAACAGCACATCAATCTTAATAATCCAGAAATTAGTGTTCAAGACATAAATGTAAAGGTTAATTCATTTTACAAAGGCTTAAGAACAACTAACACAGCATTCTTTTTTTACTTTTTTTTATAAATGCCAAGTCTAGTGCCTGTCCAAAAAGATCTCACAAATTCAATTTGTCCAATAGCCTGCAGGTTGCGACATACACAGGAGAGATAAACGGAGAGGAAGATAAATGGCTGCCTCTCCCTGCTGATTTTCTATTGAACCCTCTGGGAAAATTAGTAGGAAGAGATAAAGTTATTTATATCTGTATTTCTCCATTAGCTCTACAGCAGGAGCATTATGATTTAGGTCTGGTTTGATAAGGCTCTTATTACTCTCATTTAGTCAAGCATGTTCTTTCTACTGCCTCGTAGTCATTTAAAACTCAGCACAGTCACATCTGAATCAGAGAAATGAGTTAGCCAGTAATGATGTTGACTGCAGCACACCATGCTTCTCTTCCCACACACACTGAAGACCAAGCCGTGACTCCTATTACTATTACCTATTAAAAGAAACCTGCTGCCACACATCAACAACCTAAAAGGTTACACAATAACACATTGAAGCCTAAACAGTCTCTCCATTTGGTTAAGAGTTCAGCTGCTAAGTAGCTAGCTTTGAGAGCTCTTATACACCGTTGTGATTTTTTCATAAATGTTACCTGTTTTTTCAGTTTGTTTACCCAGGCGAACAAATAGTCAGATTTGTCACCACAACTAAATTAACAAGGTTGTTATTGCGCTACCTACTGCCTAATGGAGGAGTATTTAAGTACTTAGCCAGTCACAGCGTTGCAGGCAAAGAAGCTCAATATTGGCAAATTAAATAATGTTTTTGTGGACCGATTTTGTCAAATTTGACACATTTCCAACGGCAAAGTGGTTGAAAATCACTGCAGTAGGCAATCAAATTGCTTTATTTCAAGTGTTGGCACTGGCTAAGCAAGACAGCGACATGAGATGTAAGAATGAAAGAGCTCAAGGCTTTTAAAAGCAGCCCACATTGGCCTTCTCCTCAACGCTTTCTTTGCGTGTGGGCTTTTAAGAAGAGGCAAAGCATTCATTATTTGCAAGTGTGGGTAAACAATAATCTTTACGAAATACAGAAAAATACCTGCACACCGTTTTGTTTTTCTTAGTTCTTTTTTCATTAAATAGTTGCATAACAACGTATGAACCACAAACGAACGGTTCAAATGGTCAAACATGGACTCATTGTGTTGCATTGGTTTGTTGAATGAGCAGCTAAACATCCACCAGGGAAAAAAGAGCATTGCCCTTTGATGGCTGGATAGCCAATTAGCTGCTGAGCTGTGGAATGGTACCATTGACTAGTTTTGACACATTCCTTTGACAGCAGAAGGGGGTTACATTTGTTATTTGACTTTCTAACTAATAGGAAGAAATGGTGATGTGTAGAGAGCCCATGAGGGCAGCAAATGCTGAGATGCTTCATTCTAGCTTTCACAACTACATTCCCACTCTCTCACATTTGCTTAGGTCACACACTTTGAAATTCAATCAAGCTGTAAGCCAAGTCTTTCTGCCTACTTAATATACAATACCTTAGCCAAGTGTCTACATTAAACTAATCACAATTCTTGAATGAAATGGTATACTCATTACCAGACTACTGAGTATATTTACAAACCCATAATTTAAGGTTATTTAGTCATTTTACAAGACACAGTTGTACAATTAACTGTAAGTCGTAGCTCATTATTGATAGACAGACATAGATCATATACATATTTAACTTAAAATACATTTTAAGTAACCTTTATTTCTGGAAGAAACAGGTGAAAGGCTCTACTGTACTACACTAATTCTGCTTTTTTGGTCCTTGTCTGTGATCCAAAATCCAGGTGTAATCGCTCTGTTTGACGGCTTTTTCTACTCAGAGCTGCATTTTTTGATAAATGTGGAAATTACAGCTTTAAGTTAAGGGAACTCCTAAATGAGGCAGTTTTGTTTCATGTAAAAAGACGTTTCAGAGCCATGGGCCTCGACCTGGATTTTCAGCGGTATTATTCTTTTATAAGAAAATAATCTTTTGAGGCTCCTCCTCAGTACAAATCATAATGATGTTCTTTTTGAGAGATAGCTCTGTTAACAGCTACGTACTGTATACAGTATGCCTGCAGTCTGACTTTCTGTTTAGATGAGTTGTACACTTTAAATCTTTTTTGTGATGTGGATACAAAAAACTGAAACATTAATTTTAATTAAATGTAATATGTCAACAGATGTCACATAACTGTATTAGGTTAATAATATGAAGTTTAAACATAATATTATTGCTTAAAATCAACATTTCAGTTTTTTCAGTGTAGTTTCTTGGCAACAAGATTTTGATATTAATAAGTTCTGCTGCGGGGAAACTGCATTTAGCTGCTTTTTCACTTCTTTTCCCTCTTAGACTGTATATACAGTAGCAGAGAGCAGCAGTGAGTTCATATCCACACATGGTATTAAAAGAGAGAAACAGAAAGAGCAGTTACAAACAGTCAAATGTATCAACATATCCTGACCACACGCTGCACAGAAAGATGAATAGAGAAGCAATTAACTGAATAGATAAGTCAACGGCAGGTCCTTCACACTAGTAAAGTATGTTCTCTGCATCAATGTTAGCCTGTTTATTTATTTTGTTAATTCAACATCCCATATAATTACGGTTTGTGATTCTACTTTGATCCTCAGAGGAGAAAGTAACAGATGAGAAAAACAGTTTGTTATGTAGTCCCTTGTCTATTGTGTGGTGAGTTTTTATACACTGAAAAAACTGAAACGTTGACTTTCATTAAATGTAGTCAACAAGTTTCACATAACTGTATTAGGTTAGTTGAAAGCAATAACATAAAGTTGAACCTTATCTTTGTTATTTAAACGTTATGCTATTGCTTTCAACTAACCTAATATAGTTATGTGAAATATGCCGACATAATAATTTAATTAAAGTCAACATTTCAGATTTTCAGTGTAGATGCACCGTGTTTTACGAAACGAAAGCCTCGATTCATTTGAAGGCAACAACAATAATGTAGGTTATTGTCCTTTTTTGCTTCATTTACATGAACAAGGACCCCACCAATGGCTACTACAGTGTCAACACCTTCAACGAGAACCAACCCACCCCCACTATGTCCCTGGCCCAAAGCCAGACTCCCGACTTAGTCCGAAGCCCGCCTGCTGGAACTATGACCTTGGGCAAGCAGCGGGTGCCCACCGGCATGTCCTTCACCAACATCTACAACACCCTGGGGGCCACGCCCAACCGCCTGTACGACTACAGCCAGCGCTTCGTCCTGGGCATGGGCAGCAGCTCCATCGAACTGTGCGAGCGGGAGTTCCAGCGCAGCTCCCTGAGCGACTCCAGCTCCTTCATCGACACGCAGTGTGACAGCAGCGTCAGCAGCTACAGCAAGCAGGAAGGCTACGTGCAGTTTGACAAGGACAGCAAAACCTCCGCCTCGTCCTCCTCCCACTACTCCCAGTCCTCCTCTCAGAACTCAGACCTCACCAGGCCTCTGCAGAAACGCATGCAGACCCACGTCTAACCGTTTTTGGGGGCCTGAACAGCATGATGAGGATGGAAGTGATGTTCCAAAGAGCCATTTCACCTACACAGATGAAGGGTGTTGTTCCAGTGCTCAATTGGTATTACACCAGTGGGACATAATGTGAATTGTAGATGCCAACTTTTGACTTGATGAACCTGCTGGAATCAAAGTGCGATTTCTTATTATGAGCCATCAACAAAAAAAAATATTGACAATCATTTGTCTGTTTCTGCTCATAAGAAAAAAAAATCTGTAGCTTGCTGCAGTTCTCATTTTCTTTCATTCGACAGACTACCTGAACATAAGCACCTAGGGGCAGCGGTATTGTTGGACAAAAAAGAAGTAACAAGCAGTTTTTTTTATTAATGAGAAAACTCTGGGTGTTGTGAGCTCAGCTGCTGTATTGTAAAAATCAGAAAATGGCTTTTCTTCTGAGTACCTTGGAAGGAAAAAAAGGATATGAGCTGGCACAGCAGTAAAACCTGTTACTCATTTCCTGTACATCAGTTACCACAACAACCACGGTTATTGCTAGCTGTATTAGAAATTGATTCCTCTTTTGTAAATGTCCTGTACATTGTTTTAGCTCTTTAACGGCTACTATTTTTCAGACATTGTGAGATTTTCCTTGCCTTTCAGTGTATGCTATGCGATGGATAATTTCTCATCAACTGATCACAGAATGCATGGAGAAATGGACATGTCATCTTTCTCAAACACACGAAGGCAACTCCCCCCCTCCCCCCCCCTGCCTCCTAAAAGACCTTAAGATGTTTACAAGTGTAGTAAAAGGGTATTGAGGTCTGTAATTTTCCCATTTAATGTGAGACACTTGCAGCTTGTGTGTGTCCTGTATCTCTGGGAAGCACTTTCTAGCTGCCAGAGCAGGTTTGTCATTTCCATTCATTTGCTGATATTGTGTTGTTTACACTAGAGCTCTGTAAAACCCAGCATTTTGTGTACTGTGTTTTGACTACCGAATGACAAAGGGGAAAGATAAAGTGAGATTCTTGCCAACTGACATTTCTGATCTTCCGGGGACTTTGATGCCTGCTGTTTTAAGTGAGGCAGAATGCTAGAGCTGGACGCTAAATGCTAATATACCTTTGAAGGGTGACAATGAGACTGCTGCACTCAAGAACAATGAAAAAAGGATGTGCAAACTCATGTACGACCAGAAACATCAATATTTCAATGAAGAAATGAATACAAGTCTGTCTGGAATAATTGTGAGTGCCTGGGCATTTTAATAGGCCATCAGTCAAAGCAGCCACTCAATAGAGTGGTGCAGTGATTGTTGTAGGCCGACCCTAAAGTTAGCATCTCAAGGGCTCCCACGATAAATCTATTGTATTTTGGAATATTGCAGAAAATAAGATCTGTGGTTTTGGTTCTCTTGTTCAGCCGGATAATCTCCAAATATGGACACTGCTTTATATTTTTGAAGCTTAAATGTAATCAACAGATGTGAAAGCTAACGGCTATAAGCAAACTACATTACATGCCCATGGCTGTGCATAATCTCTTAATCTAATGTAAACCACAGACCTTATTTCATGCATCCAGCATGTTAAAATAATGTGGACTTTGAGACGAGGGAGCCGTAAAAAGGCAAACATTTTTATTTCTGCAGCACTTTCTGAAATCATGCTGTTACCAAGACTGTATCTGGCTAATACAAATGAAGGAAAACTTCAGCGTGACACAGCCTAGAAACAGGCAAATAAGAAGGTTAAATATTGTCAGTAATCGATGTACATGGAGCAAAGAAAGCACAAAATAGTACATTGCATTTCCACTCATGATCTACCAATGAATATAACAGAAAAGCATGGGTTGATGTACTGTTATAACTAAGCACTTAAACAATAAATGTATTAGGCTCACTCTTACTGTGTGATACAATGAACCTTACATTCGGGGATTTCTGTTGTGAACATACATTACTGTACAGAAAGAAAGATTTTGTGCCAACATTGTGTTTTGATTAAAGAACATTAAATATACCTCAATGCTACTTCAATGTAGGTGTTTTTGTTTGTCAATGTGAAATACTTGGGAATGATCCACCTCTCATATCCTCTCATCCGTGGCTTTAACATCTCATCCTTCTTTCCTCTCTCTGTATTCACGGCCTGTCCTTTTCTCTGAGACTCCTCACTTGTGTTGACAGCACAGGGACATAATGCTAATGCTATCCAGAACCTGCTCTTCCTCTCTCATCTCTATCACCTTCTCTCTTTATTTTCTCTCAGTCTCCTCATTGTGTCCCATATGTCTTTCTTTTCCACAGGTGAACTTTGATCGATGGTGTATTTCCACTTTTGTATACATACATAGACATGAATACTAACCAGTAATAAGCTAATTGAACAAAATAAAATGTATAACTTAACAGTAGCAAAGAGTGCGATAAGGCTTGCTCTTGGTTCATATCGTCTGATGTGAGTGTTAAATATTTTTGGATAAATCGGACAATTTTGTCTGTGGTCTTCCATGTTTTAATAAATAATTTAAGATTAGAATATATTTTAGTTTGCAGCAATAATTATCTCATTGTTTTTATTGTTTTAATTATTATTGCTTTAAGTGTTTGCTAGTGGCCTTCAGGAGGCTTAGTAATGACTACAAACTCTAAAATACTGCTCAACTATATTGGTAGGTAGCAGTTGACATAACTGCATTATGTTTTTTTCCTATTTGTAGATGGCTATGTAGAGTATCCATCTTACCAAGCTTTGGTTACTTTTGTCTCACACAGCAATCTGGGGAATTTCAATGGAGAACTACAGACATGCGATTTTATCCTAATTTTCTAAATGTTTTCTCATTGGCAAAACACAAATGCTCAGCTCTAAAGCTGTTTAAATGTGTTTCTCTTATACCTGAAGTTCTTTGTTGGTGAATGAGAAGTACAGCCTTCACTGTAAAAACTGTTGCTTTGGTAAAACTTAAAAAATATGTGTCAAGTGGTTCCAAGCTGGGAACATTAGTGAGTTGGGTAAACTCACTAATGTGATTTTTTCTGCATGTGAAAAGATGAGTTGAGCCTACAATTAAAAGCCAAGATATTAAGTGTAACCAATGCAAATAACAATCTGCTAAGACCACATAAGACAAGAATAAATAAAGTAAATTATAAAACACAATTGAGTTGCCGGAACCTATATACGACAAACTCATCCTGATTTCAATCCAACTGTTTAAATATTTGATAGCATCGAAACATTGCAGATTAAACAAATACACTACAAAAAAAGGGAACGTTATGGACATGTTAATCATTTCATTAAAATTTGATTATTTCAAAACAGTTTTCATAAAACAGTAACAAGTTTGTTTAAAAGCACAACACATTAACATACATGGAGACACATGGTTATTACTTGATGGTTATTTTTTACTGCATCTGGCTCGTGGGAAACGTATAACTTCATGCTGTGCATCACGAGCCTGTTGCACTTCGACCTCTGCTGTTCCCTGTATATACAAACTAAACACTAAATTGAGTACAAATCAGGACCCACCATGTGTTTTCCTCAAAACTAAAATCAAATCCGTCTTGAAAACATAACGAGCCAGTTTACATTAGCTGTTAACAGACGGTAACAGAGGTGCTATTCACATGCATTACAAGGGGTTTAAGTCATCAAAAAAAAGTCTGGTTTGCAAGAAAATGAACCACATAGTCATGATATTGATATAGTTAATAAAATGTCCAATTACTTCTTTTTAACCCCACCTCATGCTCAGAGATGTATATAAAGTGGCACATGGGTCCTAGAATAAATAAGAACAGACGATTATTTCAACTTTTATCTTGATAAGTGAGAGCGCAGGCCAGTCTACATGAATGAAGGGCAAGGCACGTTATTAGAATGTAAACATAACACGTCTTGAATTAACCTCTGAAACAACAACTTTAGTCTGACACACTCAAGGGCTTACCTAATGTGAACCTGAAGTCCATAGCAGGAGGCAAAATGTCTTCAAGAGGAGGTGTGACTGTTTTCTGGTGAGGCAAATAAAAGAACAAAATAGTTACATGATGACAATGTAACAATCATTTCAGTAGAATTCATTAAAACATATTTAATTCAATTAATGGAATCAAACATAATTAAAACACAAGTATCATTTAAAACGGTAATGTATTTATATATATTTATAAGGATGGCATTTATTAAGGATGGTATTGTTAGATACCAGTACAATTCCATGATTCTCTACACAGCAGATCCTATTTACTTCAATATACACTCCTTTATCTCGTTTGCATACTGTCTAATATCTACTTTATATTGTGGTAAAACATCTCCTTAATAAAACTGTACTTATTGATATTTCTCGGTAAAGACTGAATTTTACTGTACTACATTGAACACATCTTGCTGACGTTATAAATGCATCCCCGCTGTTGGATTGTGTTTGTTGTTCTCGCGTCCAGGAGGAAGGTAAAATAAAAGACTAATGGAGTCTCTGAAAAGGTTCAAATTGGTACTTTAATTAAGTAGCGTGGTTCTGAAACAAACAGAGCGGGACAGGACAACAGCTGTGGTGGGGAGGTCAGCGGGGTGAAGAAGAGACTGAGATCCCGTTGTCCCCAGTCTGTGGGTGTTTCTCAATCGCGAGTAAAGCTGCTCCAGAGCCACTATTTCAAGCATACTACGTCATCGAGTGCCGCCGAAGTACTGTTCCAATCTCCAGCATACTTGGAAATCTACCGAGCCCGGCGTACTCCGTTTGGAGAAATATCGAGGCTGCACATGAGTAGACTCCACGGTCTTAAAATCCCCACAATGCTTTGCGCACGGACCAATTTCCCCAAATCTGTGGCGGAAGATGTAAGGCGGGGCCTCTCATATGACGCACACCTGCACACTTGCTAGCGTGTTCCACACTTCGTTTTCCGAATGCCAGGAAGTATTCTTGACTCGCTTCTGAAGCAAGATGCTCGGCAGACATGTGCTACCAAGCAAGCGTACTCGCGATTGAGA